GATATCCACTATCCCATATCGTCCCTTGGGTGTCATGCAAATAAACAAGGAGATGGGCAGCAGCGTCTTACTAACAACAAAAATATAAAATTAATTCAGCGGTTGTCAACCCGCCTTCCCAGCATGGCAATTATGGCAAATATTTCGCCTATAAGACAAACAATGAGGGAGGCCTATGTTAAGCAGTGCACTTGTGAAGGACTGTAATGAATGGATGGATGAAACGATTTCAGAAGGAGATCGTACGAGGATGAAAACTCTTAGTAAAACGCACAGTACTGGACCGCCAAGGATGGTATCGTGATTTTTGTCGCGTAGTGCGTTGTTGAAATTTGGCGGGGACAACGTGGTGCTCCATTTCCTTGTCCTGTCTGTTTTTTGAAAATATTAAGAATAGTTTGAATAAAATGTGAGAAGAATAATAAATTATAATTATGGCTAGATGATTTTAATTTAGGGATTGGGATGAATAGGTCTAGTAATGGAAATGAAAATTAAAAATGAAAAATTGAATGAAAAATGAAAAAATGTTTATTTACAGCTAAGGTGGTACAGATTATAATATACAATATAAGATGATAATAAAATGGAAGTACAGTAGTCTTAATTTTCTAGTATACAATTATACACTATGATCTTATCACACCAACTAAGCTGGAGTGTATAAACAAAGGTGTATAGTTCGGTGGTCCTCACACTAGGCATGCCTGTGTCGTGAGGGCCTGATACGATTTTCTTATGGTTTTCATTAATTCACACTGGGTCGACGTAAGGTTATTACATTATGTAAGCTTTTTGTTGTTAAAATAAAATAAAATATAAAATAAAATTAATATTTATATTAAGTTAATATGTATAAAAATAAAATTATTAGAGGTAAAATAATAAATTGTTAGTAAAGAAAATACTGTAATTCATAAATATTACAATAATTAATAAAACATATAAATTAGAAACTCCTATAGATACATATGGATATTACATACTGTATTCATATATTTTATTTACGTAATTAAAAATACGTAAATAAAATATTCATATATTTTATTTACGTATTTAAAAATATATATGAAAGAATAGAAAGGTAACTTGTCGACCAAGTGTATGAGTTTGTGTATTTATGAGGTGTTTAGCAATGGTGGTAGACATGACAAGGATATAGAACGAGGGGAGAAGGAGAATGCATGACACAGAGTAACTGGGGCTCTTCAATCTATTGTGGAAAGTCATCATGTATAAAAAGGCACGTGTGGCAATTGACAATGCTATGTCAATCCCTACCTTAATGTATGGTAGTGAAAGTTGGCTGAGGCAGAAGAAGCACCAAAGTAGAATGTATAATAATAAGGAGTATGTTAATTGTGACCTTGAATTACAGATCAGAACTTATGATTAATAGAGGATAAGGGTTGTTTTAAGAATATATTTTGATGTGACTTTAGACACGTAGAAAGACTATAAGAAATATAAGGATAGTTACGACCTATAACGTCCCACTGCTGGGTACAGGCCTCCTCTGATTTATGAGAGGATTTTAGGACAAGGAAATATCCGCCCCAATGCGTGTTGGCGGACTTCACATGTCTTCGAAATAGTTTTTAGTATATATGGCTATTATTTACTGAAGTCCGTCAACTACTACTTTTACTCATTGTAAAGTTGTTTGAAATATAGAAACTGTGAAGGAGTCATCCCTATTCCTTGTATATTACATAAATTTGTGAACAGAAGTCATTGATATTTACCGGATCGCATGTCCACGATGAAATATTATTGCATGGCTACGTACGGCTACGTACGGGTGTAATTTATTCTGGATTCGATATCCATGTTCACGTTTGGAGGCGGTCGTGACAAAACAAAATAACAAATGCTTTCTTATATCATATATCTTATTATGTTTTCATTAATTCATTCAATTGCAGTCTATCGAAAGTCTAGTGTTACTTCGTTTAAACCAAATTGAAACCAAAATTGCCACCCTTGGCGGGTTGGTAACAATTGTTTTGTATTTTCTAGTTGTTGTCCGGAAGATGCTGCTGCCCATCTCTTGTTTCATTTCCCTCTATCGCGATAAACAGAGTAATGGATTCTTCACTTTTCGACTGCCTTGGTCTATTAGTTGCGATTGCAATTGCTGAGCATAAGGTCCCGGGTACGAATACCGGGTCGGGCCAAAAAAATCAGCTATATATATTGGGCATGCACGGGTGCACTATAATGCTGTCCTGCGCAGATGGCTAGTCTCCGTTGAGGCTGGCTCCGTGACCGAAATTCGGTCTGGAAGAAGATGAACTTCTTCCACGACGCTACTATCGGGTCATAATATCATATAATGTTTTTATTGTGTGTCGTGTCACATGTAGTTACAGAGAGATAATCAATATGACTCATTAAGAAATGTATTTATAGATTGTAAATTCCTAACTTGTTGACTTGTATATACATACTTGAAATTTCTGTTTGTCAAAGATAACCAACAAAATTTGAATATTAAAAAAGAATCAAAAAGAACTTGCGAAATCAATATGCTTTTGATGTGTGCTTTGTTAAATCATCTAGTTACATTTACATTACAGTAAAAGTACTTTAATAAGCGGAATCAGAATCTTTAACCATTTCCAATATACATTAAATCATTAGAGAGCCCACGATTTAAAAAAAAGTTAAAAGAATGGTTATTATCAAAATGTTTCTATAATTTAGATGAATGTTTTGATTTTTGATTTGATGTAGTGCTTTATTTTATTTTTTACTATATAGTACGTCCGAAATGGACAAACTGTTGTAACTATACTCTGTATTTGTAAGACCTCATGTACACAGTTATGACAATAAATGATTATCTTATCTTATCTTAAAAGAGATACGAAACAGCAAACGTGCAGCATCTTCTTAATAACGATATAGCTCAAAATAACAAAAACTGCGGTTACGAACTCGACTGTTTTGATTGGAAACTATGGCAATTCTCCCTATGAGTCAATCTGCCTTTGTTCAACAGTGGACTTTCGAAGTGATAAGCGGAAATTAAATTAAAATTTAAAAAAAACCGCCGAAGCAAAAACAGATTTTGCTCTTCAAACGGCTGAACAGACACTCTCGATGAATACACTTTTTAAACCAAAAAAAAAGCTTAATCAAAATCGGTTCACCCGTTCAGGAGCTATGATATCACAGACAGACACACAGATACACAGATACATACATACATAGATACACAGATACATACATACACATATACACAGATACATACATACACAGATACACAGATACATACATACACAGATACACAGATACATACATACACAGATACACAGATACATACATACACAGATACACAGATACATACATACACAGATACACAGATACATACATACACAGATACACAGATACACAGATACATACTTACACAGATACACAGATACATACATACACAGATACACAGATATATACATACACAGATACACAGATACATACATACACAGATACACAGATACATACATACACAGATACACACTACAAACTTATTACACCCCTCTGTTTCTGTTAGGGATTAATCAATTAATTAATAAAATTATTAGAAAAACACTGCACCTGTATTATTTGTATTTATTTAGAAAATCTGCTATTTTATGTACTTATTATAAGCCCGTGCTTACCGAAATAAGCCTATTCACTTTTGCCTTAAATACCCTCATTATAACTTGACGGAAACGCGGAAGCTGGCAAATATTATTATATATTTGTGATAATACCAGTCCCAACGTTTACTTGCCGGTTAGCAGTTAGGTTCGCGTTATCATATTTAGTTCCTATAGATATATGTTATTATTTTTTTACTTTTATTTCGACAACAAAACAACTATTTTGCTTTATTTAATAGGTAAGCTATCATCAATGGGAATATATCATCTTCTCGAAATCGTCAAATGATTCGATCGAAACATGTTTATTGATACGAAACGACGGTAAAATCTTAGGGTCGTAGGTTGGAATCCGCCATTCGACTACTGTCGAAAAATAGAACATTTCTTACGACCACATAATTACCCGTGCAGCAATGACATCTAACAGAAGAACAAACATGAAATTGCACCCGCACGCCTGTCACTCAGAGGCGTAAGCAGAAACTACGAACTTTCATTTGGGACGATCTTGACACACCTATCTTACTTCGACGAGGTTAAAAGTGCCCTTAATTACTTTCAAGAAGAATCACAAAAAATCACATCTTTAGAAATTTGGAACGTATTAGTTTTAAATTAGGAGCTGGGTGTTTAACAAAATCGTCATCAAATAACCATAAATAGGTTTCCATTTTTTTATGAATACGATGAAATTAAGTGTAGCAACATTCATCTAGATATATTCGATGGTAGCCTTTTTAGATCTAAAAGAAATTAACGTGTTTCTCTCAATATTTTATGTATTTTTTATATCTTGTTTACTTTTTGCTACGGCTAAGACTCTACTTCAGTTATATTACTACGCCTTATAAACATTTCAACCGGCTTCAAAAAAGGGAGAGGTTCCCAATGCGACTGTATTTTTTATGTTTGTTACCTCATAACTTCTTAATCGGTGAAACGATTTTGATGATTTTTTTTTTAATTTGAAAGCTGGTGCTTCTCATGTTGTCCCGTATAAATTTGATCAAGATCTGATCTGACTGATCAGTAGTTTTTGAGTTATCTTTAATAATGCGTATTTAATTGACTTCGAATACATTGATTGAATGTTTTCATTTATACTGAACGGTCGGTTTGTTTATGTTATTCAATTTTACAATTAACATATTTCGCGGATATTAAAGTCCTTCAACACGAAGTGAATCATTATACTTGTTTCATCATAGGTTTAGGGTACCGGAGACCCTTTTTACTGGAAACGAGGCATTCCATCTTATTCCTCAGGGGTGATAACGCATCTGAATTTTAATTCGTAATCGAGAATAGATGTCTATGTGCCACAGCAACCACTTACCATTAGGTGGACTCCTACAAGAAAAAACCTAGCTCTGACTCCAAAAAGCAGTGCCTGCACTGCTTTGTTCTGTACTGAAGGATATAAGAGAAGAGATCCACTATAATTACAGGCTATGATGTATTCCATCTTAATCCTTAACGCATCTAGGTGAACTTGGAGTTCGTTTGACACTAGTTTATAATATTATTTCAATTTAAAAAGAGAAATATAAAAAAAAAACTTTTAGCAGAGGCTTTCATCATATTTATATATGAACTGTGCGTTTATCAGTTTATCATCTTTAGGTTCTATTGTCTCTCGCCGCGGTATCATTGAAGTTCATTTTTAATTGGGACATTCTTTCACAATAATTTTCTACCGACTCCAAAAAAGGAGGAGGTTCTTAATTCTAATGGATTTTTATGCGTGTTACCCTCAGAACTTTCTTGTATTTGAAAGCTGGTGCTTCTCATGTGGTCCCATATAAATTTGATCAAAATCTGCCACTAGTTTTTGAGTTATCCTTAGTAATGCGTATTTAATTGACTTCGACTTCATTCGTGATGTTCTCATTTTATATTATACATTTACACGTTTATACCGAATTCAGTTCTAATTTTACAGCGTCGTCAAGATGCTCTGTAATTGTTTTTTTAAGATATTTTGATTTGATTGGACTTATATTACTGATTTATTTTTGACTTAGTCAAGCCTTGCTGCAGCTATATAATGGCTGTAGCCTCAACGGATAGGCTCGACTAGGGAAGGACCACACACTCACAGAATACCAACGTAAAATAGCTGTTTAATGCTGGTGTATTTCGTATGGTGAGTGTAGAGAAACAGAGACGCTTTTTTGCTGGGAACGAGGGATTCTATCTTACTCCTCATGTTTGGCAATGCATCTGCATTTTGATTAAACGAATCTATACTTGTACTACATCTATACTACGTCTATGAGCCACAGCAACCACTTACCATCAGGTGAGGTGTGTGTTCGTTTGTCACCCTTATTCTATTTTTTATATGATGATAGCTGACCAGTCAGACGTTTTCCGCCCTCTCTGACGATCCTGTGTCCTATAAAAATTCTTAAATTCATAATGAAAAATATTGAGGGTCACTTATAGGGATAAAAACTATCCTATCTCTCAAGTTGGACCAAACTGCACACAGTGTGTAAAATTTCTTAAATATGATTTTGTTCTATTAAATTGATTTCCAAGAAGAATCCGTTTGCCGTATTTATAAATTCATTATTACTAGACTACGATGACGTCACTACGAGCAATTGGGCGAGCATGATTTACTGAATACAAATAACACTAAAAATTATTTCAAAAGAACTGTCAATAACCGAATATTTATTTATTAATGATGTCGGTTACGGTTTGGCTCATGGATGATGCAACGATGTTGTTTTTGGCTCGTCGCAATATTCAATTTAACTTCAAAAAGATACATACTAACACACCTGCTCTACCGCTAGTGTTTATAGTGAGAACTCCATTTAAATGTATATTCATACTGGTACAAGAAGATAACATTTTTTTGCTTCGTAAAATAAATATTACTTAAGTTTAAATGAAACTTAGTTTTACGGATTTTATCGCGTTCATTAACTTATTTTAAATTACCGACGTTTCGAATACTTAACAGTTTTTACAACACACACACACACACTGACTGAGGTGTTTGACGTCCCAGCGTCGTAGTTAACTACGGCTAGCTTCAGTTTAAAATTGTTAATTTTTGGTCCGATCTACGCAGTATAAACTTACTGTATCATGAAGTCTTGCAGTTGTATGCTTGGGTTGGGATATAATTTTATTAATCATATGATCCCAAGCAGATGGTAGCACCCAGCCATTTTATCTATTGAATTTAGGATTTTTTTTTGATTTCAATAGCCTCGCGAATTTTCCTTGGAAGGAATCGGTGTTCTTTAACAAGGTGGTCTATCAAATCTGATGTAGAGACGGGGTCGATCCTGTATGTGTTCACAGAGTAATTTTAAACTGAAGGTAGCCGTGGTTAACTACGTTGGCACGTCGAACACCTTGGTCAAGGATCATCGACAATGGGTACTTTGAAGTACACGAAACGTCCGAAATTTAAAATAAGTAAATATACGCGATAAAAGCGTTAGAATTTAGTTTCATTTAAACGTGTAGTGTTCGCGTAAACATAAGAAATCATTATTTCTTAAATTGTTTGTAAAGGGCATCGTACAACTTCCTTCCGGTTATTGATCTGATTTTCGCCACTATTAACGAATGATGTGTGCTATAGTAGCAGCATAAGTGTCCACTATCCCATTCCATTCGTCCCAGTCCATCTCTATTAATGCTGTCGCCTCTTACAAAATTTTGTAAGAGGCGACAACCTTGAAAGATATGGACAACAGCATCTTCCTGATTATCACTCTTTTACAATAAAAAATAACTGCAGTTGCTTACCCGTATGACGAACATAGCAACTACGGAATAATACCTTTGTTCAGCTGCGAAATGATAGGCATGACTATTATTCTTTTAAAATATGGAGGCTTCAGTGCAATCCAAAATACATTAACGAAAGCCGGTCGGAACTGACTTCGCAAAAATTACTCCGAAACATAAAGTCATCTGCAAGTTACGACCCGACACTTCCTTGAAAACTTGTGCTTAGTTGCACGCGAAATTTAACAACGTGGTAATACTGTGGAAATTGTTATTAAAAAAAACGGCTTACAATATTACAACAACACCTAAATTTAATTTCTTTATATTAAAAAAACAGTATTTCTAACGTTCTTTTTTGTTTCTTTTAAATAGTTTTTTTATCGACTTCCTAATAAAAACCCTTTCAAGATGCGTCCATTGTATTGCATTAACTTCAGATAATTGCCAATTTGCAAAATTTCGGGAAGCGCATTGGTGAATGCAGAACTGATATCCCATTATTGGTGATGGTATTCCCATCATCTGTGGGAATATGATTAATCGCTTTTGAATAGAATAATCGACATTATTAGGGTCGCCAGAACCGCATTAGTTGATAAAATTGTACCTTATTACATACATCACATTTGTTACAGACCTCCAAGTTTTTCAGCTGAACAAAGGTATTTTTTCCATAGTTGCTATGCTTGTCAGAAGGGTAGGCAACCGTAGTTATTTTATTGTAAATGAGTAGTAGTCAGGAAGATGCTGTTGTCAATTTCTTTCAAGGTTGTCGCCTCACAATTTTGTAAGCGGCGACAGCCTTGAAGGAGATGAACTGGGATGAATGGAATGGGATAGTGAATTCTTATGCTGCTATTATAGCACACGTTATTCGTTAAAAGTGGCGAAAATCAGATCAATAACCGGAAGGAAACTGTAGGATCACCTTTACATACAATTTAAGTAATAATAATTTCTATGTTTACGCGAACACTACACGTTTAAATCCACCTAATTTCTTCTGGTTTTATCGCGTATATTTACTTATTTTAAATACTAACATTTCGAGTAGAGTTCTGTGTTTATCTAGACAAGTTTTATTTCTAAGACTTTTTTTCCTAACGCCAAGCACAGCTTTTATTGCCCAGGTACTTGTTATTAAATCAAAGAATATCTTACATTTTTTGTGGATATTTAAGGATAATTATTAAGGAAATTAGGGTAAAACTAAGATCAGAAGTGGAAACACCGGCTGATAATAATCCTTTTTTTTAATTTTTATTCTTATTTTAATACTATAAATACTAGCAATGCTCATGAACATTACCAATATTACCACTAACCACTTCAGGTAAGCTTAACATGCTTGTGGCGAATTCGAACACACGACCTTTGAGCAAACGGTCTGCACCCTGTCATTTGGCTACTGTCACTTATAATTAATTAACAAGCGACTCGCCCCGGCTTCGTAGGCGGGTCGCTTGTTGGTAACAATGTGGCGTTATTTAAATTTAAGATAATCGTTTTAATCATGTAGGGTTTATCAAAAAAAATCTCCAAGTTTTTCGGGTAAAATATATTTTATATGTTATAGATCACTTCTGGAATTGTTCTCTATTTATCTATCTATTTATATATATATACAAGAGTTATGGTTTGAAAATATTATTTTTTTATTTAACGCCCCCGCAACGAAACCAATAGAAAATATCGGCTGACGACATTAATTTGTGCACGGAATAATTTTTAGATATCCTCTAGACCGAATTTCGGTCACGGCGACCGGTCTCAAAGGAGACTATCCATCTGCGCAGGGCAGGATTATAGTGGCTAAGTGTATGCGCAAACACAGGTGCGCTATATATTCCCTCACTCTCATAGTCCGATGGGATGGTTACCCTACACAACCTGAGAGAGATCAGGCGCAGGGCCAACGACTTTACGTAGTTTTCGATGAACGTGGGTGAAATGCCGCCAACTTACTGGTTCTGGGCTACTAATGAGATTTTCAGACATAAACTCAATAACATGTTTGATCCGAACTGGGAAGCTTTAAATTCAAAGTTACAGCCTATGCACGTTTCACAATTACAGATGTCCTACAGTCTTCTTATTTTATGGGGTATTTCCTCCGCGCAGCTCTGGTGTGTGTGCAGACTTCACATGTCTTCAAAATATTTTTATATATCACGATGTTTTCGTTCATTAATTTTACCTAAGGAGTATGCTAGAGCTGAATCTGAATGAGAGTGAGAAATTGTTTGTTAAGGGAAAAGTGTGGTTATCAAGATGATGTTGTGACCTGGTTAAGAAAAGAATGCTACGGTTTGAGCATGTGGAAAGAAAGAAAGAATATTAGTTTACTTAGTAACACATTTTAGCAATTTGCTTACAATAATAACGTATTATGATAAATGGTTACAAAATAATATGCACATATAATATATTTAAACCATATACACGATAACACTGCGACATACATAAGTACTTATCTATAAAAATAATAAGTTTATTAAAATAAATAAAATTATAGTGTCTGTTTGTAGTGTCAAAATAACAGCTTTTTACTATATGCATATGAAATTAAATACATATATATACGGTACTTATAACAAAAACACAATTTTTAAAATTATTGTCTGTCGGTCTTTCTGTCTCTTAGTTCCGGCTAATCTTCGAAATGGCTGGACCGATTTTGACAGGAATTTCTGGTAGATAGCTGATGTTATAAGGAGTAACTTAGGCTACTTTAATTTTAGAAAAAGAATTAGATTTCCGCGTAAAAGAAATAAAACCCATGAAATCCAATCGCAATAAATTAAACGCAGGCGAAGTTGCGGGGAACAGCTAGTTAATTAATATACGAGTAATAAAAGTAGCAAATACCTCAATAAAATTAAAGAGAAACGAATAAACGGAATAGAAAAGTAAGTAAGACACAGTAAATAATTTTCAATAAGTTGACTTTTGAATACTGAGTAAGTATTTTTTGTAATTATATTTAACAAAACGAATGAAGCTAGATTTCTAATTGGTGGTAGAATGTTGTTCCACCATCTCGTGGCAGAATAACGAAAGCTAGCTCTAAATGCCGATATACTGTGTCTTGGACATACTAAACGAGTTGCTATTCTAACTTGTCGCCATGAAATTGTAATTTGTTATAAAGATACTGCGGTGTGTGTGTCATTGTGAAACCAAACAATAAGCTGGCAAAATGGAGAGAACGTCCAGACTGCATATTCATTAAATAACTGTTGTTGAGATAAAGTGTAACATGTGTCCGCTTCGGTTTATTAAAACAAAAACGTGAACAAGCGTTTTGCACCCTTTGTGTAAATTTCTTTGTATGAGAGAAGAGATACTCGCCTACAAATATATATAGAAAGAATGAGTGAGGAAAGAGTGACAAAGCAAATTAATGATGTAGAAGTGAGTGGCAGAGTCGGCAAAGGACGCCCTAGACGTAAGTTTATCGACCAAATTGGTGATATAATAAGATGGGCAAAACTAAGAGGCCCGACTAACATGTATGCGTAATGATTTCTTATATTTACGCGAACACTACACATTGATTAAAACTATTTTTACGGATTTTATCGCGTTTATTTAACTTATTTTATATTCCCGACGTTTCGGTTGCTTTCCAGCAACCGTGGTCACGGGGAAATGAGGTGATTGACGTCCCGATGTCAGAGTTAAACCGGAGTACCTTCAGCTTTTTTAATTTATAATTTTGGTCCGATCTACGCAGAATGAACTAACTGTGTCTTGAAGTCTTGCAGTGGTATGCTTGGGTTTAGTTTTAATTTTATGAATTACAGAATCAGAAATCAATCCATATATGTATCTAGGCATATACATATATGGATTGAAAGGAGGTGAGAGAGGTGTGTAAGGATCGTGCCAAATGGCAGTTCGTAGTCTCTGCCTACCCCTTTGGGTGACAGTTGTGAGTGTTTATGTATATGTTTTCGTTCACCTTGGCGGCGGAACGTGGTAAATCAGCTGTCATAACAATTAACATTTCATTGTTGCCGGCGGTGATCGAACCCGGATTGCTCTTTGCTATACAATTTATGGCAAACGCTTATTCCTTGAGCTACCACGGCTTTTTTGTTTTATTCTTTATGAAAAAACTTAAAATATTACAAACAATAAACTACAATGATGCATACGGTAATGTATCTTAAAAAAAAACGAACATATAATCTACTTACCGCTGCAGTGCCGTGCATACAGTTATATTTTTATTAAGCCCCTAAGCCGCAAATAAATGAAACAAAAGCATTGAATGAGTAAATTCTACGGGCTGCAAAGTATTCTCGGCTATAAAACAGAAATAGGTATTATTCATAATAGGAGACTTAAAACGAAGAATAAAATTTCAAAGTAATCGATAAATGACGACTTGAAATAGTAACAAAGTATAACAACGTTCAATCAAAGTAAATTACAATGATAGGCCACTAGCAAAACAAGTCCAATTACGTGAAACTAGACAACAGTGAGCCGTGGTAGCTGAGGGGCTAAGTACTCGCTGTAAATTTCACAGTACTCGAGCAACCCGGGCTTGATCCCCGCCGACATTAATGAAATTGTTAATTGCAATGTGCTAATTTACCACGTGCTCGACGGTGAAGGAAAACATCGTGAGGAAACCTGCGTTTCTGAGAAATAAGAAAAAAAATATTTCTAAGACATGTGAAGTGCGCCGCAAGCATGAATGCTGCACTAGACAGTAGATGATATATTCATACATCATTAATTCATTACGTCCTGCCAAAGTCCACTGCTGAAAAAAGGCCTGCTCAATATGCAGGACCTTTTTTTTACATGAAGAAATGCCTCGCGGGGGCAAGGACGGGTTATGTCGAACTCGCACCGAATAAAACCCCATGCAGTTCCACCTTAGCCGCATATTGGCAGACCTATATATATAGGCCACGGGAACGCTTTCGCATACATCAGCGTCCCCACCAGCGCTGGCCGCCCCATGGCAGCCGCTTCTCGGGGGAAGACTTCTCCTACCCATTCCTTCTCAGGCAAGGCGCATCATGAACACAAGACACACCTTTCTCCATGGCCTCCAACTCCACCTGCGCAATCCCCCCCCCCCTCCCCGGAGTCAGATACGCGGAGGCCATGGGGCCAGGAAAAGCAAGCGCTCGGTAGCATCGCTGTCCCGACCCCAGCGGCTCTGGGATCGGTCTCTGCGGGATCTGGTCTTTGGCTCCGCCGCCAACCAAGTTTCGGCCGCGGAAGGTAAGGAGAGCGGCGCCTCGCAATATCGACACTCCTCTCCCCCCGCAGCCCCACAACCATCGCATCAACGGTGCGGCCCCGTCAGAGTCGCGGAGGATAGGGCGAGTGGCGCATCGTCATACCGACACTCCTCCTCCTCCGTGACTCCACCTCGGTTGCAGCGGTAGGGAGATAGGGCACCCCTCTCGCGGCAGCCCACCGACACACATCTGGAGGTGGCCACCTCGGGCCGGCCCTACACCACGGGCAAGCCAAGGGATTCCTCTTTATTCACCGCGGGTGACCTATCCACAGCTACTAAGCCCCCCCGCCACGTCAAGGCGGGAACCCGTTCGGGGGGGCAATATGCAGGACCTATCGATCAAAAAGTTTTTTTTTTATTATGTTAGCAAATATTATTTAAATAAATCGCTACAATACTGTTTCAATTTTTTTTACATAATTTTATAAAATATTATATCGTAAATTAAGGTTTTAAAAAGTCCCGCTGGGTTTCTTGCTATTTCCTCCCAGGATAGAGGAACTCTTGAACCCGTAGTAATATAATTAATTACTACTATTAATTAAATTCTTGTAATCTATATTGAATAAAAATTATTATAAACGATTGTATTCTTTGGAAATACGATATTCAAATCCAAAAATACCCAAAACCAAAGTGAACGTGATTTAATGTAATGAATTAAATGAATATAAAGTTTTTTATAAGGCCGCTTAGTGAGCTATGGAGAAAACTATGCATGGATTTTCTCTGTTTGATAGACTTAGAAATTAGGATATCCACAGTAGAACCACAGTAACAAGATCTATATCTACCAAGCTAGACAGCCGTCTAACCAGAAAATATTATCTGTTTCTCGTATTTACTGCTACAACGTTGGTCCTGGGCCTGATCTTTCTCTGGTCGTGTCTTTTACCGTCCCATCGCAGAACATTATTGTTATTATTATTAATACAACACAAACATCATTATGTACAGTTTACAATTTACGTAAAACTATGATAGCGTACTATAACTTTCTATCAAGTAGAACTTGAATTATTAGAAAATAACAGAGAAATTGCAGAAATAACTAACCAATGCAGCATAAAGAATGAATATAAATATAATCATAAAGACAATTTGCAAAGAATTGCAATTTGTTTTAATCTCTAACGACATTAAAAGTCCCGAGCGATAAGCGAAGCGAATAATATAGCTGCAGCATAATGGCTCTACTACGTACATATCGTTCACAATGTTTAAAGATATGTTCCTCGTATGGAGCTGAATTATCTTGACTTTTTTTACTAACCTCAAGGGTAACCTGCATTTTGATTCTTAATCGAGAATAAATCGTAGATGTATATACGTAACAGCACTCACTTACGAATACCATCAGGTAAGTACTAATTCTATAAAAAAAAATATTTTCCAGAAAATTCATAAATTTAAATCTGAGTTTGCATAGCGCTTCTATGTTTAAGTTATAATAAAATATTACTTTCAACGCTAAGACAACAGGAAACATTTAAAATATGTGTTAGACACAACTCTATTTCAGGTTCCAATAAGTTGCTCTAAATATGCCCAGAGTTTAGTCAATAGCCGTACGCTTAACTGCTGTAGTAAATGTTTGCCATAATTGCCACACTTTATATTTAGGTTGGCAACCACGGTATATTTTTTATTTTAAGTTGTTATTAGGCACATTCTCCTGGCCATCTAAAGTTTAATTTTCCTCTGTCGCCTAATAAGACACCCGCAGGATTATGTGGAAGTGAATAGTCTTACAAAGCCACTACACGGTATAGTAACAGCATTATTTTTTATTACTTTGAGTTTTTATCAACAATATACTGTTGCCCATCGCCTGTTTCATTTCATCGCCTCTTACAATAATAACGGAATGATATGGGATAGGTTCACTAGTTCATATCATCCCGTAGATGTCTTACACATCACACACTCATTTACAAAACCAAAATTAATATGACAAGGTGTTATCTTCACACTTGTATATTATATTCACAGTTACTTACCCTTTTTTTTACTTATGTTTGTTCTAACAATATGTTAATAATAATATAATATATAAAAATAAATTTTTGTTTGTTCGTATTTTATGCGCTACCATTCAATTACATTAAATTCAATAAATGTATCATCACACCTAAGCATTTTTAAACAATATACGCTTCCAAATTAAAAACCGCAATTATTTCTTCTGTGGCTTCAACGCGCCGGGTACCATCTAGTCTTCTTATATATAATATTAATTTAACATAATAGAGTAACACATATTCCATTGTTATAAATTATTTATACAAAGTAGGAACTTGCATTTAGCAGCAACTAATGTTAAATATTCAGCTCTGCGATTATGTAAAATATAAAATACGTATAATATAATAAATTTTTAAACACGTTCTTTTAATACACTTATATTATCATTTCGGTATGTAAATTATTATTTTTTTTTTGGATTTTGTTTTTATATTTTGTATATTTCATTTTTATAAACACTAATTTTAATTAATTTTGATTATTTATAAAACCTTTTCAAATTACTAATCATGACGTAATGGAGTGCGCTGAAGAGTTCGATACCTTTGTCATGCATAAAAAAGCGAGATAAACTGTCATTAGACGTTAAACTTATTAATTTACCTTAATTTTGTTTTGTTTAACATTGTAATATGACATTACAATGACAAATTCCAGACAAAACAAATTAGTGTTTGTTTTTGGTTACCTTAAGGTATATGTAAGCAACTTTGTATTTAATGTAAACAATTTGCTTGAACATTGTTTTTCGCGTATTTTGTTATTTTATAAGATTTGATCAAACATTCGAAACAACCTGTAGGTCATCATTATTTCATCATCATTACAGCCCTTCACAAGTCCACTGCTGAACATAGGCCTTCCCCAAGGATTGCCACAAAACACGGTCCCGAGCCATCTGCATAAATCGACTTTTTGCATTTCTTAACCTGGTAAGGTCGTCACTCCATCTAGTGGAGGGACACCCTACATTTCACCTGCCGTTACGAGGCTGCCACTCGAGAACCTTTCTTCTCCATATTTCTTCTTCTTCTTCTTCTTCTACCTAGCGTTATCCCGGTTGCTCATCCCGCCCAGCGCGGGAGAACCCAGGGTCCGCTTTCCGACACTTCCTCCTCCACTTTGCCCGGTCTTCGGCGTCCCTCACAACTAGCCGATTGGCGCGCATGTCATCCTGCACGACATCAAGCCAGCGTTTCTTGGGCCGTCCTCTACTCCTGGCACCAGGTAAGGTCATGTCCAGGCATTTGTTTCCCACGT